GGTCGTTAGACAGGCTGTTCCATCGGAAAATATGCCGTCTTGCGAAATTCTAGACTCGTTTGGCGCATACATGCTCGCGATTTACCAGTGTTCTAACCTTTTAATCTTACGTGGCAACTCAGGCTGCCCTACTCGATCTAACGTCTGCACTAATCTATCGATATTCCGAAAGTTCCGAATGCAAATCGATCAAGGACCGACGAGAGTCGCCGTTAATTTAATTTGGTCTGTAATGGACGTCAGGGTCGCGGCCTCGAATTATTTTCCCCGGATGATCGCCGATCCCATTAAGGAACCCGAAGAGGTTAGCGGTATCGAAATCCGGTTGGCAGTGCGATCTCACCGAATAAGAACGTATCGCTATGCCGAGTTAGAGCGAGGAACGATCGCGGTTACTTTCTCCTCGCGTCTCCGCGATGCCCCCGTTTGCGCGTCCGCTTCGACACGCTGTAGCCTCTCCACGCGATTGGACACCGCGCGCGGAATCATCGCGCGTTCCTCGATGATTGCGCGCAAATATCAACCGGGATACACCGTCGTTCGGGTGGCGGGTTCTTACGGTCCGTGCTTATCGCGGCAATTTCCTCGTTCGGTCTCACGATCAGCGCCAATCTTCCACCCGACGACAGGATAATTGCATTCGAGTCGCGCGTCTCCGCGCCGATCGACGCTCCGCGCTTTATTTACGAGTCGGACGTCGCCATTAATACTCGCGTAACCTGTTCCCCGGCTGCATCTGCGCGTTCCAGTTTACTACGCCTCTAAATTTCGACATTTTTCTCGTTAACCGTAACATTCCGAATTTTCACCAAAGAAAAAGTAAACTTGACAAAATAATATACGCTCTAAAGTTCGCTTTATCGTCAAGGAAATTTCGACATTAAAATTTGTAAATGGCTCGTTCGTCTGGAATGACTTGTTCGGCATGCGATTGTCCTGCGGGAAGACGGGAATCCTATAATCGCCGCGAGACATCGACCAGATTCCGCGCGGCGGTGAAAAAGTCTTGTACTTCGTGTTATATTCTTAATTACGTCGTTAATACCGGGAAGGATAGGCAGAAGGCAGCTCGGAAACGAAAAGCGCATGGTAGCGAATACGGCGGTCGGTGGTTGCTCGCCGGTTGGCCAAGGCAAAGGGAATTGCATCGCATGCCACATAATCGTGGGAGTGTTTCCCATCAAGATACACGTAGGTACCGCACTCGCCGTAATACCCTCTCGCATAAATATATCTGCATCGTAGCTTTGCATTCCTCTACAGGGTGGCGTCGAACCAGGGAACTCGTGGAAACCGCTTTCCAGGCGACGATCGACGGATGACTTTGCTGCAATTCTATTTAAACTTTGTGCTTCGCTAGAGGACTCGTATGTACGTTTTCTAATCCAACAAACTCCGAAAGGTTCGACCGGTGTGCCAGAAATCTACTTCGTCGCGATCTCTCCCGTTCGATGTCGAACACCGTACACTGTCGATTCGTGTGTCGCGAGAATCGAATCTCCGTCAGAATTAGGTTTTGAACGATCAAGGAAGCAACTAGTTCGAACACGAAATCGTTGAGATCAGTTTTAGATAAGATCCTTACGACTATGCTCTGCTCGACCGTTTCGTAGATTCGATCCCAAGTCTAGAATCGTTCGCGAATGGTTTTTCGTCACCAGGTATATGGGTCTTGTATGCACAGGAGAAAGCTGAAGCGCTGGAACGGTCGATCTAGCGAACTAAACGTACTTTATGCACCGTGCCCTCGTTCCACCGTTTTATCCGAACAATTAGACACGTGATCCGCGGTTACGAGGCGTGTAAAAAAGAGTCGCTGCCCTCCGAGATAGAGATCGAGTTTGTCGTCGAGATCAAAAGGAACAGATCGAGCGAAGACACACAACCTTCTGGGATACGCTGGGTGTAAAATCCATCTTCGGATTCTCAGAATCTTTACGACCCCTGTGACTGGGTAATTCGACTAGTTAGCAACTTACGATCTTTGCACGCTACACGGACAGAATCTAAACATCCAACGCAACCGTATAATTTTCAATTCTTCATTTTTCTGTCTTTGAAAATTTAACATCTCGGCCACAATGAAATCCACGGGAATATCGCGAGCAACCGAGTCTCCAGCTAACCAGAGATGGGAACATTTTATTCGAACGAGACCAACGTCTTCCGTTCGTCTGTTCCTTTCGAAATATTTAATTTTATAGCTGAAATTTTTACTTCTATTTAACAGATCATTTTATAACGTTCCTGTCCGTGACCCACATCGTGCATACGAGATTGAATTCCAGTTATATGCTTTCTTCGTTTCAATTTAATTATTCTCGCGCTATTACGTCGGATGGCTTAATATCCGTGCTCTCGTACAGCACCTGCTCGACGTTGTTGATTCGCCAGCGATACATAAAATTGATATTCTTACAATAAGTGAAAGCTACTTCAACGCTTTATTGGAATTTATGTGTGTAATAAAGACTTTCAACTACACGTGACTTATCACCTGGAATAACCGTGATGCTAATTTTCGTAAATACTGTCATCTCTATCACCGTCGACTCTCTCAACCCTTGCGCAGGCATGCTCGTATTTGCCAGACAAGTAGGCACGTATATTATGCCCTCCCCGCTGTCTCCAATACTAGGCGGAAGCTTTAATACCGATCGGTAGAGCACCAAGAAAAACAAGAATACGTTCGCCTTCGGAAGGTGCAATTATAAACCGCGAAAAAAACATTCGAAAAAAACCTGCCGCAAAGAAGCCTCCGTTGGAAGAAATGTTCGATTAAATCGGTCATTTCCTCTCTAAAGATAAGAACAACTACAACATCCATCGATGGAAGTATGCAGATCGTAAAGGCAAAAACCAAGTTTCATTTGTTTTTTCACTCCGCTATAAATCGTGGCAATAATTTTTTTCTCGATTCCAATGAATGCCTCCGGATTAATCGTATTAGCGTATTATCACTGCGAAACAATTAAGGCGTTCGAAACGTAACCAGCTTCCGATCGTTTGCTAGGAACGCGCGTTGGAGGCGTACGCGACGTCGCGCGTATCTCGCGAAATCTCCGCGGTTGGAAAAAAATGGAGAGCGGGTGACGTTGGCGGGCTATGGGCCCCGTACCACGGATCTGCGAAGGGATCCACGCAGTCCCTCTCGTGCAAAACGAGAAAAAAAGCCCCCCCAAAGGGGAAACAAGAAGAAGAGGTAGGAGAAGAAGCGGGGTCCTTCGTGGCGAAGGAAAAGAAGAAAAAGAGGGTAGCCCGAGCGAAGGGGTGGAGGGAGAAAGCCCCGAGAATCGGGACATTAGCATAAGCTAAGCCAAGCTAAGCGCGGCCATATAGCACGGAAATAAATAGCCGCTTGTCTCGTATCTACACCGAGACGGTTTAGCATGGGCCAACGTCGTTCTCGTCGTCGTCGTCGTCCCCCTGAAAACCGAACGCGTGTGCGTCCGTTCGCGTGCTACGTTGGACCATGTTTGCGCACGCTTGGCCACCCACTGCAACGATATTTGGGCCCTCCGAACGCGAAAGATTATTGGACGAAACGGTACTAGTACGCGCTATTAACTAGTCAAAGCAGTAGATCGAAATTATTAAAGAAATTTAGAATTTGAAAATGTATGTCTACGATGACACGTAACGAAAAATAACCGACTCAACGTGTGTCAAAGGTCAGTCGTGCATCGATTCACTAAAGAGCAGAAAAACTGAACTTTTGTAGCGCTGCCATTATAGAAACCTCTTTCGAGATAGTTATCGCGACTCGGGCATTGTCGGGTTATAAATAAAGCGTTCGATCTACCAGGTAACAACGGGAACGACACGTAGCGCTACGAGTATAGGAATTTTCGAGTTTGGTTTTGTGAGTTTGGTTCGTCGGTCGTCACGGTGCGCGACAGCGAGGACGATTCGAGACGGAGATGGTCTTGGACGATCGTATCGACGCCGCCGCGGTCGACCGGTAGTCCCGGCAGAGGAGATAGTCATGGCGGCTCCGCTCGTGATTCCTCGAGGGACTGGCAAAGGAACGGGAGTAGATGGGCCGGCAGATAATTACCGCGAGCCTTCGTTGTCGTCGGTTGCGAACATACGAAACGAGAGAATTAAACGGACCGAACGAGCGTGAGAGACGCGGACCGAGCGAACGTTTAACGGTTAACGCGTCTTTTAAAGCGTTTTCGATTATTCTCCGCGAGTTATAAAAAGGCTCGGGCGCATCGCGAGACGCTCGCTAAGTAAATAATATTCCATCAACGGCTTTACGTTTCGCGAAACGTTATCCGTAATGATCGTTAAACGATTTCGCATTACGACGCGAAATTGTACCGGCGGATAACGACTGGTTCGAGAACGATCTATCGCGAGAAAGAGGCGAAATGCATCGGGAGATAGAGAGAGAGAGAGAGGGGGATATATGAAGGGAAATAGAAGGACGAGCATTGTCTACGCGGCTCGATGACGATCGCCGCAACATCGACGAGCGGAGAGAGAGCTCGTCGGCATTGTTAGGTCGGCGAATCTCGTCTGCGGCTGGAACGGGGATCGCGTCCTGGATGACAGTCGTAGCGATGGACGATAACATCTTCGCGTCGATTAGACGAAGCCACACGAAGGAAGGCACGATCAACGGACGGGCCGAGAACGAGCGGCGCGCGTCAAGAGGCCGTCGCGATCGGAGTTCTTCCGGCAGCCCTGCCACCGCTCGCGGAACCACGCTGTGGGAAGCATTGTCCCTTTCTAAGCTTCTCTAAGCTCGCCGAGGATCGACGAGCCGCGTGACAACAACGACCGTCTTCGAGATACCATCGTCACACGCCGGTTACGGAAAAGACGGACCCTGCTATAATACGACAACCCGCGAGATAATCTCGACGCAGCGACCGTTCCAATAGGAACGCAACCGTCCGCTACGGCTCCGAGCGGAATCGTTTTCGCAAATGTATACCCCCCACCCCCCCCCACCCTCCCTTCCCCCGGACGATCGAACACGAACGATTTACCTGTGGTGAAGAGGACGATGGCTTTCAGGCAGCTGTACTCGGCCGAGTCGACGTGCAGAGCTTTTAGCTTTTCCACCTGTTCTTGAAAGATTCTGATGTGGTCCATGAAGGCGACCACGCGATCCGCTGCCATCGGTGATGCGTGGAGACCGGCCGCGGCCAACAGCGGCGCCACGTGGAGGGGCATCGAGCACTGGCTCGCGTTCAGGACGAACAACTCGCTCCAAACTAGCCTGAGCAGGGCGACCTGGTCCGTCACCTGAAGGTCCGGGAAGAACGGGATGTTCCTGGCCCACTCGACCGCCGAGAACAGCAATCTTGCCGCGAGCTCGCAGATGTTGTCGATTCCCATGATGTTGTTCGGTTGCATGCACTGACCGTATCTCGAGGTCGGGTACGGCTCCGCCCTCAGGAGCAAACTAATATACGAGGAGAGGTAAGAGTGACCGTTCAGACTGGCGCACGCGACCGCGTCGCCGTTCGTCAGGGCGAACTGTCCGGGCAAACCTGGCAACGACGGCTGCGACGGCGGCACTCGGCCCCTTTGCACGGCTGCAACAAACAAACAAACACCAACTTCACCAATTTTCGTCAAACTTTGCGTCACGCCGAGATCTTAAGGGACTCGTTAATACAAACTAACCGGTATACGAAAATACCCATATTTTTACTTTATATCGTTACTATTCTCAAGATTTATATTAAGTAGACCTACGAGGATCGTAACGTCGGCGAGTCGACGATCGATACGAGCGATCGAACGACTTCGACTCGACACCGCGCAACGGATGCAGATTCAACGAGTAGATCGTGAAAAGTCTCAACGAACCTGCTCCACGATCGCCTAATCGTATGCTTATCGGCGCGGTCGCGCATCCTCGATTTCATGCGTCGACATTTTATTCCCTCTCTCGAGACGGCTGATGGATACCAAACCGAACGAATAACTTCCGTGATCTTTTCGGAGCTTTCGTTAGAAATAAAAAATTGGCGAACGCTTAAGGAACACTACGGTCGCTGATGTATATGTCTCAAAGTAAGCTGCGATACTCTATGGTTAAATTTGTGTGCGTGTTCGAGACGCAAACGATAATGAAACGTCGTACTATTTCTATTAAAAACCGGGCTCGCTTAAGAACAGGTTGTCCGAGACAAAAAAGATGCGCGTGACTGTTACAAAGATATACGCGTGACTGTTTGTTCTAGTCCACCGTGTTATGTGTGTTACGCAAAACGTAAGCTATGCAATTTTTCCATTGACGAGTTCGCTGTAGTGGAAGCGGAGGAATTATGCACTGTTTATGCACTCCAACAGAAAATCTACCAAACCTCGCCGAGTCTAAGGTTTAAAGATCTCCCGTAAAAATAGATAATTATTCTATTTGTTACCGACACAAAGACTGTGCAAGAGTCGTTGTAGTAATTAGAGAATTACACCACGCGTGAGGTGCTCGGTCGGAGTAGCTGAACGACCGATGAATGGAAAGAAGACCGATGTCTCGCGTTCTCCGAAGAATCGGCAAATATTGTGCAAAAGCAAACGCTCGAGACGAGAAGACTAGACGTTTCTCATTGAACGAGCGTGGACAAACGCGAGAAGAAACAACACTGTCGTTCGACGTTTGAAAAAGGAAGGATCGTCCTAGCCAAACGAGTGAAAAACGCGAGAGTCCGGCGAACTTTGCTCGTTTTCCCACCTGAATACCGTTCACTCGTACCGAACACTCGTATACCGCGAAGTCATATATTAACTAAAGTAAACGGACGATGCTTTAAAATTTTCAAAATTTATACACGATAGCGTTTCGCTACTAAATTCCTAAGGTTGGTTCGCTCATGTTCCTTACTGTATCGGGCATTAGGCGCGAAATCTCTGCAAAACCGTTACGCGCTCGCGATGTTCCCGCGTTCCTCGTCGAGCGGAGCGCCACCGTTATTACCGCGCTTGAATTTTTTCGAGAATAGATGGTGCGATTACGAGCGTCGTACAGATCGTATCGCGTTCTTCGAGTTTACTGTTAATCTTCGGTAATAACGCGGACCACGTACCGAAGGGGGGTTTAACTGTATTTCGTGGCGAACTCGCGCCGCTTTCCGATAATCGTTCGGTCCGGCGGTCGAAAGAAACGCGATCGCCGGGTAAAGGTTAAAGCGGAGGCGAAGAGATAAAGAAAGGCAGGGGCAGCAGGAAGAGAATCCGCCGCGTACGAGACTGTCCCTCCGTCCTCTCTTCCACCCAACGTCACACTCCATCTTTCTTTTTCTCCGGGGTCCCGACGAGAAACGGCACCCTGCTGCGCACCGCCTGAATTCCAACCTCCGCCCCGCGGCTAACGAACACCGTCTCCACTATCTTCCCATCCTCCGACCACCTCCTTCGCCAACCTTCGCCGTGCTCCTCGGTTCTGGTGAAAAACCGACAACCACCAGACACCGTTCGCGAATTCTACCGGCCGAGGCCACCACGGTTAGACGCGATCGTTAACGCCGCCAAACTTCTCCAATCGTCTTTTTAGACGATCGGAAACAGGAGCATCGTCGAACGGATTAAGATTCTACGATAAATATTTATAGATGTCTCCTCGCGATTCCAATAGGAATTTCATTCGAATTAACAACAGTTTTTTCGAGACGTTCGTAAATACGAGTTTCAGCGCCGTTACGCGAGACTCTTCTTTTTAAACGCTGGTTGTTTTTTGATGTCAGATGTCTAGGACGTATCGTTGATGAAAAACAAGGTTTGACGCGTGTCGATGCAAAGTATAGGCGACGCGCGTATGCAAGTAGATTCGGTACCGTTACCGGTCGGCCCGAACGCGGATACTCGTTCGCGCGGCTCGCTCGAGCGGAAAAGAATCCGCGACGAATCGAAACGCAGCGTCGCGTCGCCCCGACGTCTGCGCTCGTCCCCCGGTCGTGGCATATGTAGTTGCACCGGCGCATTAACCGTCGCTCGTTCCATCGAGTTTCTCCTCGTTACAAGACTCGAAGGAGTGCCGATGGCCACGGATGCCCGCCGCGACAGATGCGCGATAGGCTCCTAGCTGCTTCGTTCTCGGCGACCTCGCATTTCGCTAGCCATTCGCTCCGCGGAGTTTTCGCCTTGCGAAACGTACTCCGGTTTTCGTTCGAGTCTTGCTTCTGCGCTCGGCGGGTTCAATGCCCGGTCGACCAGAAGGTTGATAACAGGTGTTTAACCTCTTGCCGTACGATTTAATTAAACCACGCTCTTCAAACCAGCGCCATTCGATTCTGTTTAAATTTGTTCGCGAGCGCGATGCTCGACAAACAGCAGACTCGTTTTCCCCGATACCACGCCGATGCGAAAATCTGTTGATTTTAATTAATTCGTTATTACGTCCTCATTTATTCTATGGGATCGTTTAAAGTTTTGCACGATTGAAGTTTGAAGCGGCGAGTATCGGCGACCACCAGTGAACGGGTTAATTCTGGTCGATTCGTTCCGTTGCCGCTTATCGTGGATCCAAGAAATCGAGGGAATATTCTGACGAGAGTTAACGCAAGATTGCGTATTATCTGACCGTTCGATGGTTGTATTTTTTCGTTCTGGCGCGGCGAGCCGATCGTCGCGCCTAAATTCCTCGATTCGCGACAGCAGCCAATAATTATTCGCGGCGGGTCAAAGGTCGAGCGATTGCCGGGAAGAGGCGCGATTGCGCCTCGGCTTTATCGAACGCGCGCATTTTTTGTTCCAAAACCGTAGTACAGAAACGCCAGTGGCTCGATACGCTCGGGACAATTTTGTTCGCGCGGCACGAGATAATCGAGAACGCTGAATCGCCGCCAGCGTCTTGAAAATATTGTTCCGCGCGACCGGAACAAACGTAATAATAATATTCTTACGTTTACGCACGAAACAAGAGAAAATGTATTATCAATAGCGATACCAGTTCCCTGCCAATTAATCCAACCATAATTACTATTTTGTATTTTGTGTCTTGTAAAAATATGATTGTTGGATGTTTTCCGGTAAACAGTACAAATTGGATAGTTTCCAGAATTTGTCTTGTCGAATGGCCAAAATGGCTGAAAAATCGTGCGTCGCGACGCAGAGTACACCCTGTATCGTATCGGTATATTACGTGTCGCTTCTTCTATCGCTAACAACATATACAACTTTTATCGTCGATCTGTGTTATTCGTTTCAACGACCGAGCGAAAGAATCGACGTGTCCACGGAAAAAAACCTGTGCGCAACGTCCAACCGATAAACTTATCGGAACGGCAATAAGACTCGATCCGTACCAAAGTCCGCGACGTAATTTTTTCGCGTTCCTTCGCTCCTGCGACCGAATTTTTCCTAATTTTATTATCGGGCATTAACGCCAACGAATTTCGTAACGACATTGGTCCGTTCTCGACATTATACGTACCAAAGATATCAAATCTTTAATTCGATTATACGATTAAAGTCATGACGATAGATAGTGCCTGTAGACACAACACAGTTTTTACGTAATAGTGCGTTTAATTTTGTTGTGACACGCGCGCTTTCGTCTAATTTGCGTACAAAGAACGTCGCAATAATATCAACGTATCAAAACGTCCATTAATTTCAGCAACTCTTTTATACCGACGTTCGAAACCCGGAACGAACGACGCGTTAAAATTCCGAAGGCGTAGCCGTCCGGTAGTAAAATGCTCTTTAAAACACATTCCTCGTAATTGTTGATTTATTCGATACAGCAGCGGTTCGAGTTTTCGGATTCCGTCGACAGTCACTGGCAGGTTTCGATCGAGCCGCGACATCGACGGAGGGCGTCGATGAATATCGGGTTCGGTTTCCCGCGCGACCATAGAAATCCCAGATTCGAACGAAATTCGAGGCGGTGAAACGAAACGTCTCCGAGTACCGAGATACCCGGGCACGCACGGCCATAGAGAAATTCTTGGACATGGATTGATGGTGCTGACGCGGTCTCGGAGAGACCGACAGAGAGAGCGAGAGTGGGTCAAGAGAGCCGAATAGAGAGGGATAGAGGCGAACGAGACGAGAGGCTATCGCTTTCCTCGTTCGACTCGCTTACGCGTCCGTATTCGAGAAGAATATCCGTCTCCGCGCGACGCACAATGAGCGCCAGGCATCGTTCAAAATAATTATAAACATAGAGAAACGACGATCAATCTTCCGTTCTCCTCTTCGATAATAAACGAATTACGGAGATGACGTCGACTCGGAAATAAAAGAGCGCCGGAGAATATACTGGCCGCTGGCGGGAGCGAAGGAGGGGGGTGAGGAGGGGGTGATCGGTGGAAGGGACGAGGAGAAGACGCGCGAGGAGACGAATGGAACGGAATGACGGGGGAGGGGAGGCCGCGTGAGGGGAGGGCAGGAGCACCCGCGGAGCGCGTGATTTAAAATGCTAATTTTTTTCGTTCGCAGCGACAGCGCGTTGATTAAGACGATCGCGCGGCGCGGCGCGCGGAAAGGAATTTCATTAGCGGCCATGACGTACGGCTTAGAAATTTCACTCGGTGTAACGATACGCGCGCGTGCTGCTGCTGCGTCAAACTTGAACCGTGCAAACGGT